TACATACATTACATACATTACATACATACCATACATACCATACATACCATACATACATACCATACATACATACCATACATACATACCATACATACATACCATACACACATACCATACATGCATACCATAGATACATACCATAGATACATACCATAGATACATACCATACATACATACATACCATACATACATACCATACATACATACCATACATACATACCATACATACATACATACATACATACATACATGCATGCATGCATGCATACATACATACATACATACATACCATACATACATACCATACATACATACCATACATACATACCATACATACATACCCCATACATACATACCATACATACATAGCATACATACATACATACATACAAACATACAAACATACATACATACAAACAAACAAACATTACATAGATTACATACATTACATACATACATACGTACGTACGTACATACATACATACACACATACATACATACATACATACATAATTACATCCATTACATACATACATACATGCACCCATACATACATACATACATACATACTTACATTACATTACATTACATTACAATACATTACAATACATTACATTACATTACATTGCATTACATTACATACATTACATACATGCATTGCATACATGCATTACATACATGCATTACATACATTACATTACTGACTTTACATTACATACATTACATTACATTACATACATTACATTACATTACATTACGTTACGTTACATTACATTACATTACATTACATGCATGCATGCGTACATACATACATACATACATAACATACATAACATGCATACATACTTGCGTACATACATACATACCTTACATACATTACATTACATACATCACATCACATCACATTACATTACAGTACATGGCATTACATTAGTTACATTACTTACGTTACATACATTAGATACGCAATTACATGCATATCATACCATACCATACCATACCATTTCATTTCTTCATATTACATTACATTACAATACATTACAATACATTACATTACATTACATACATTACATACATACATTACATACATACATTACATACATACATACTGTTTGATGAGTCAGCTAGCTGATGATGCCAATCTAGAGCTGTCGCAAAAACGACAAAAATGGTCAACTACCCGAGACAGATCCAAACCCAAAGTGACCAACATCTTCTTTGTCAGCTGCTGGATTTTTCAATCCACCCTGATTTCGTTCAATGCATTTCTTTCAAGGTAGAGACACACACATTATAAATCCAGAGGTCCGGAAGCCTGTCAGGAAGTACAACCGGGGACAAGTCAATTTATGCTGAAAGTCCATGGCACAGTGCATGTGAGTACCATGCCATACCATACCATGCAATGCCATACTATACCATGCTACACACACATATATACATATATACACTATATATTTCATAGTTATATATATATATATACACATATATACACATATATATATATATACACATACGTAAGGTTACATGATGATGTAAATGTCGTATGATGATGATGATGATGATGACGACGACGACGACGACGACGAAAAAAGGAGGACGACAATGATGACGATAGCCATGATGATGACGACGACGATGAGGATGAGGATGAGGATGATGATGATGATGATGATGATGATGATGTTGATGTTAATGATGATGACAATGATGATGGTGATGATGATACTGATGCGGATGTTGATGAGGACGAGGATGAGGCCGAGGATGAGGACGAGGATGAGGACGATCATGAGTCGTTTATTTATTGTGTTCATGTCTGTTTAGAGTGTTTGCGTGGAGCTGGCTGCCAAATTCGAACCTGCCACAGGTTGGGCAGCTGCGAAGGTGGAGATGTCACAGTCATGTCTGGAGAAAGTGGCACATGGCAACGGTTGTGTCTCAGGTATGATTAAAACACATTACAAAACACAATGAGGATAAACATGTGCCCATGTGCCCGCTGTTCCATCTCCTTGCCACCATTTTGAGATATATTTCGCCGGATCAAACGGCCATGGCAAGGTATACAGCTTTGGCCCCGCACACTTGTGATGCTCGTGACATGTTCAGAAAAAATCCGAAATGAACAAAGCACAACAGAGTCATAATGTATCGGGCCACATCACCATACCCTGCTTGAGGCCTTCCAGCGGAGCATGCTTGAGATGCGGGGAAGAACGCCGGTGCCTGTAACACTACAAAGTGCAAAAATCTTTGTGGGGTCCTCTCATTTTTCGAAGGGTATTGCTATCCAGGACATGTAAAAACATGCCCCAATTCTCTGTACCAGCAAGGTTTCTGGTCTTCCCCACTGCTCTTCCAGCATCTGCCATCTGTCACTAAGACATCGGGCGGCTGGAAAAACAGGGGCAACATACATAAAGTTTTAAATACAAAGCAATCTGCGCACACTGCTTCTCAATGCCACTGTTCTTGGAGGACCGGCTGTCCCTAAGTGTGCTCTACTTTCTTCTGCTTTCAACAAAGAACTTGAACTTCTCATGATTCAGGCGCGCAGAAGCTACAAAATAAAATCAAAATAATTCTTCAAAAGGCATTCTGCAAAAGCAGCTTTTTGTCATTTCACGGATGCTTGCAGCAGCTCTGTTGCTGGCTCTCCGCGACTGTGCCTGCGGCGATTGTGTCCTCGAAACAAGGCACTGGTCAAATTAAACCAATACCGAGTTCCCGCAAGCGTACACCATGTATCCCCATGTGATACGCATGCGCTCACTGCGCAGGAAGGCCACCCCCCTGCTCCGCTGGCAGACCAACGACCGGTTGGCGCGTTCTCCAACTCTGCTACTCCTCCCCGCTTGTAGAATAGCTGAATGCCACCTCCGCTTGTCCTCAAGTTTAACATGTTTCAACTGCCCTTCGCACAACTTTCCAATACTTTTGGCATCTTGTATATGTCTGTGTGTGTGTACCATCTGAAGAGATGGAAAACTTCTAACCTGCTGGACTTCCGGTATTCTGTTCCTCTTTTAGGTCTTGATTTCATTGTATTGCATTTCAGATTTGCAGGGGGGCAGTGCACGACTGACAGACACTGCCCAACGAAGACAGTGTCAGTTCGTGGTGATACAGGGCCTGATCAGCTCTGTGTCCCCGCATCCAATTTTATTTTCTCGCGATGGGCGCTGGCTAACCCAAGAGCCACCAGGCTGTTTTCAAACAACCTGAAATCACTTCTTTTTCTGTACGGTTTTCGCAATGTGTTTTTTCAACTTTCAAGTTGAAAGGGGAAGGGTCAGCTTCCAATTCAACGATTTTCTGCACTGGCTATGGCCATCTTCTTGATACTTTGTCGGGTCTATTCACCGACCCATTCCTGTCAGGTGCAATTGGAGTGTTTTTGCACGTAAGATGCGTTCCACAACAAAATTCGCAATGACAGTTCTGAGCAAGTGTGTTACTTACGTCGGTTCGACACGATGTCGTGAACCCCTCGGGGAATACCTGTCTAGGTAGGATGTTGGATCCTTTTCGACTTGATCTCTGAATTTACATTTTTAACCTAGTAATTCGTCTGAGTAAAGTGAAACAGATATAACAAATGGCATTTTTTCGATTCTCACCCTGTCGGAAGTCTCGGTTGAGCAATTTTCCGCTGTCTCGGGCTTTAATTTTGGTTTGAATGTCTGCATAGCTGGAAGCCGCGGCAACCTTCTTTTTCCAACGTTGCTCGAGAGAGTGCTCAGCTTGTAGCATTGCAACATGACAAGGTTTAGGCTTCAGGACATGCCTTTTAGGTGTGGTCACTTTCTTTTGGTTGTTTTGGTGAAGTTCAATGGTGCACTAATTCGAGGGTTGAACGCTTAAGCTGTTCAAAGGGTTTGAAATATTTTGAAATGACTACCGAGGGCCTTGACCCTTATCGCGAATCATGCATGACTTTGTGGATGCATTTTTTATTAATTAGTTCCCCGTAGGTCTCCTATCTCATGCGTGCTCCCTCTCTAGGTCAGGTTTGGGTCCTTCGCGTGCCGAGGTAAGTTTTGGCTCTCGCCTTGTAGGTTGTGTCAGGCACTTACGTCCTCCCCCCCTCCTCTGGTCGGTGTTTGGCCCTTCGTCCGTCCACTTTTTCTTTTCCCTTGCCCTTTCAGGGTCTGCCCTTTCTGGGCTAGGTAGCGGCTAGGTGTGTTGGTGTTGTTCTCCCTTTTTCCCGTCCTCTTTTGCGTTCCCCGTCTCGTGTCCCGGGTAAGTAACTGTCATTATCTCATTCTCATCGTCACCTCACTTCCATTCCCCTTTCATCTTCGCCTTCATCTCATTTCCCGGAGCCTTAAAAAGCCCCGCGGCAGCGGCGTGTGTGTGAACCATCTGAAGAGATGTCAAACTTCTAACCTGCTGGACTTCCGGTATTCTGTTCCTCTTTTAGGTCTTGATTTCATTGTATTGCATTTCAGATTTGCAGGGGCAGTGCACGACTGACAGACACCGCCCAACGAAGACACTGTCAGTTTGTGGTGATACAGAGCCCGATCAGCTCTGCGTACCTGAGGGGCAGTGGCTAACCCAAGAACCACCAGGTTGTTTTCAAACAACCTGAAATCACTTCTTTTTCTGTACGGTTTTCGCAATCTTTTTTTCAACTTTCAAGTTGAAAGGGGAAGGGTCAGCTTCCAATTCAACGATTTTCTGCACTGGCTATGGCCATGGTAGCTTCTTGATACTTTGTCGGGTCTCTTCACCGACCCATTCCTGTCAGGTGTAATTGGAGTGTTTTTGCACGTAAGATGCATTCCACAACAAAATTCGCGATGACAGTTCTGAGCAAGTGTGTGACACCTTACAGCCTTACAGCAATGTCTGGGGAGATTCAACAGCCCTTGGATGGAGACAGGGAAGTCGGGAAACTAACCAAAATGCTGCCGAGGATTTCACGGGATCTCCGAATGTATGCACTTCCAGGTGACGAGCCACAGTAGCATTTCCAAATCAGCTGCAATGAGTCAAAGTCCAACATCCGTGCAGAATCCTGCAGAATACCCCTTTGGAGTACATCCGCCCCCCCAATACCATGAGGCCAAGATGCCATGAAGGGATCTCAGCCGCTTGTTTCTGCGCACTTCGTATTTCACCCGGAGACGATCTGATTTCGCTTGTTCTCTAGAGCAAAAGTGGCAAAACCTCAGTCGCGATGCAACTGATGCAGCTGGACTATGAACAAAGTACGCTTCGACTTCAACATCGTTCAACAACAAATCTGCAGCATGTCACAAAACTGAGTCTGTAGTGACATGTGGGGTAGTACAGTAACCACACCGAATACGTTTAACAAGTTTAGTCACACTGCCCATGCCTGCAGCTCTCTCTCTCTCTCTCTTTTTCTCCCTCCATTACCTTCTCCAAGAGTGCTGCCTGCTTCACTACATAGATTAGATAGGTCCAGATAGGTTTTTGATCTGTCCCTTTAATATCATACCTCGATGATTCATGATGATTCAGCCTACTGGTGGACAACCGAACGTGTAGTTGTCACTATTTTTACGACTGGGGGGCTACGCCAAGGATGTGCTACGTGACAACTTGGAGTGGGGTTGTCTCTTTCTGGCAAGACCTTGGCACAAATGTATAACCAAACTGGTGTCACCGGCTCTGCAGAAAAAAAACGGGACCACTTTGATGTGCCAAAACAATGCCCGCACTATCACTTTGTGGCATGACCCGTCAGAAACAGAGTTGTTTTCTGGGGATACAATGTCAAATTTTATTGTCCTGCGCACAGAAAATCATGAAATCCGACGGAAATGAGACGCAAACGTGACAAAAAACATGAAATCCATTGATAAACGCAACACATCGCAACACGACACAGAATCCACAAACATCAAAAACGCAACGCCGCCACGTATGCCACGTTCAATTACCCACCCGCGATGATTCACCATGCGAATCCCACCTGCAAGTGTCTCCAAGTCGGCAGCCGGTCTCTTTCCTTGTCAAAAAGCTCCACAAATGGGCACCCAATGGGCACCCCGGAAATGGATGGACATGGAAATGGTGTATATATGAAAGCCTATGAGCACTGTCCAGGTTCAAGCGTGCCTTGAATCAAAACTGTCCGCCTGGATGTTTTCCCACTGAGGCCAAGGTGCAACTGGAAGAACCGGCACGGTTTACCTAGGAGGTGTTGCAGAATGTTGCATAAAATGTCAGAAACCACCGCTCAAAGCCACTTTGCGATGCATTTTTTCAGGAGAACGTGTCCTTCAGTGATCGCCGATGGTAGGAGTCTCCTGCATCTGGAACCATCTAGAACCATCAAGACAATTCTAGACATATCTAGACTCTGGACACGTCATTCATGATTTGATCTTCCAGTAGGACGGAGGACCGACTGGAGAGATGGTTCTCAAGTTCAACTTGGACCAAAAACTGCATGACACATGTCTGTCTGAAAATAATTCTTACTTAGTTATTTGCAACTTTGGGGTTGCGAGGGGGCCCACCAACATTCTGTGCCCAAGGAGCAGGTGCCATTTTGATGCTGCTCGAGGCTGTTGAACACCTGGCATTTGTAAAGCCGCTCCAGTTGAGTTGCACACTATAACAGTTCGTGATAGTGTATGGTACTGTTTATGGTACTGTATGCTGTTGTGCTGTGTGAATCACGTGCTATACGGGCTTACTGACTGACTGACTGCCTGGCTGACTGACTGCCTGGCTGACTTACGCTCCCGCACCCTCTCCCCTGTGCCAGCAGAAGAGTCACCCTGAACATAATGCTCTGGCTTGATTGATCTGCACATCCAATCACCAAAATCCTCCACAGCCAATCAAATCCCACTTTGCTCGTCTACTCATGCTCCAAGCGCCACAAGTCGCACCTGCAGGGGAGCCGGAGGGGGCTCACTTTCCTTGCTCTCTTCACTTGAGATTTGGCTCACGCCTCAGATGCAAATTGGACGATCTGACGACCCACACTTCAAGAGAAGAAGTATCTGGCATCGTCTGACAGATTTGCTCTGTTTTCTGCAGCTTGGTTGCCTGGGATATCGAAATCCTTAGGCTGGTGCCAGGAAAGTAACCAGCCACAACTTTTTCGGAATTACGTCCCAACTTCAACACATGCCTCATCTTGATATGCGCATATTGAAACACACCTGCCAAGGACTGAAGTACACGGACCTAACAGGCAAAACCAGCGAGAATCAATTACTGTACTTCCTTGAGCAAGTTCCAAATGCATCCAAATGCAGCATCTTATGGGACATCGGCACAGAAATTCATCCATCAAATCCAGCAGGTCATCAGGTTTAGTCCATGGCCCATGGCTGTGTCAAGGATCTGATCCCGATGAGTTGGAATTGGTCGTTGCAGTTGTGGCATTCGCAAGGGCAGACGTGCCATACCTTGGTCGCACGAATTCCACCACTTGGCCAAATATCAGCAGTAGCCTAAACCGCACATGGCGTCACCATAAATCATTGGATTCGATCTATATATATATATATACATATATATATATATATATGTGTACAATACAAATAATACAATATCATGTACAAAAAATCTGTATATTTATACATATTATTTATATATATATATATCATATATTTTGTGTACATAATTTATCATAATTTTGATATTTTTGTATGTTTTCATAGCTCCGGGTGCCTTGATCACTGGATCTTTCAAACTTTTTAAGCAAGCCACATAGTACTGTACGCCTGGCTCCCTGTCTGACTGCCCGAATTCTGCACGGTCTGCTCGTCCGAAGGTGCCGTAGACATAGGCATCGACACGTCTTCACTTTGTCGAGGACCTAACCTGAAAAAATAGGCCATGGCACCAGAGCATCTGGGGATGTCACTGGAAAACTAAATGTCTTTCATTAACATTCATTAACCATTTAGTTGCAGTATTTTTATGGTCCTACTTGGTCATTTTTATAGTCACAAATAAATTTCAGCTGGAACTGTAGGCTACAAGGGACTTCTTGGCAAGTTTCGGAATAAACCTTCTAACATATTTGAACCATGAAATTTTACATCCCCAGTTCCCTCACCTTGCTGCCCGGGGCCTGCTCGTCTGTCCCGTGGCAGGCATTGAGGAGTCAGAATCCTGCACCGGTCGGAGCAGCTCCAACAGTGTCATGTTCCCCTTGAAAAAACGGATAAAAACGGTATGTCCAAGAATGGTCGGACCGCAAATGGATCCCTTTGGTGGGAGAAATCAGGTATCCACTTTTTCGGACATTCCCGTTGCATCTATATAATGTAGTACACCGATTAGTGTGATGATGTCCTATATTGTGAGATTCTTTTCTCATTGATTGAAACTGAAATCCTGAAAAACAATACAGGCCTTATTAAAATTAATCCGACCCTAAGATTATATGATATCATATTATATATAAAAATATAGATTACATTACAGAATATCGTTCAATATAATATTCAAGTCAATGAAATTACTCTATGTATGATACTATGATACACTATGTACCATATCATGCTATATTGTGTTATGTCATATTAAACTATTTCAAATTTATAAAAATGTATTATAGGATATTACAGGATATTGTATCCTATCTTTACAATTCTATAGGCATAATTGGGGCCTGCTTCATATATATTTATTTCTATATTTCCATACTGCAATGCTGCAACAAGACAAACGAAAGTTAAGCCCCGTTGCGAAATACTTGGAAGCTCAAGCCTGAGTTCCTTGCGGTCCATGATCATTATAAACATCATTGAACAAAACATGCGGGTACATGTCTTTCTTTGACCTGGTTTATATCTGCATGGGTCTTGCGTTTCATCCAACTCTCTTTGCCAAAGCTTCCAACAATCTGGCCTACAGTGTACAGCGGCTTGAAACGACACCTGAGGTTATGATTGGCTTACCGTTGGTGCAACTTAACATCTGCACTTGCAAGCACTGTTCTTGAGTGATCCCAAGTCATCACACTTTTTGTTTGGCTGCCCCAAGCCACCTTTGCTGTACTCACACGGCCGTTGGCCCTAAACCCTGCTGTGTGAACAAGGTGAATAAAGAAACGAAGGAACCTATGGATCCTATGGACAGGAGGAAAACTTTGAAAAAAGAGTGCTACCACTGTACAAGAAGAACTCTCACTTCGGGCTTAATTGTTTGTTATTCAGAATCAAGAATCGATAATCAAATTGTCAAGTAGCATTGCAAGATGGTCTTACTTGCCGGAATTTCAGTTCGCATGGAGAGGTTCACAAAGAGATGTTCAAACTGAGCGCATCTGAGCGCTATCATATCTGTAACTGCGATCAACTTTCCTCGAGAGATGCGCAGGGCAGAATTCACATAGAGTAGCGTTCAAACAGAGCACATTCAAAAGAGTGTATTCAAGGAGGGACTACCGTAGTCATCATATGACTGAAATTTAGATGGTGGGAATCAGTCAAAAGGGGCTTGGTAGTTCCGCGCCGCAGCATTAATGCCTCCCGAATTGCCTGGTTGGCTGGATCAAAAGGAACATTTGGCTGAGTATTATCGGTTTGTTGAATAATTTCCCAAGCTTTGCGCATATTTCTGTTGTCCAAATTTTTCTGCGTCTGCCTACTCTACTGAACCTAGGGGCTTTTGGTCTCGCAAGAATCGAATTGAAAGTGACTTGGTGCTGAGGATGCGATCTTGGCCGTCTGAGCACATTCCCCAAAAGTCTTAAACATTTCTCCTCGAGAATCTCAGTCAGCGGTTTAATTTTTCGAAGTGGGCCTACCGAAGGGGCCTCTAAGGCATCGTGTGGTGTGTAAATTGAGAATCTTGCGCAATCCTTTTAGTTGGAAAGCGTCGAGCATCTGACCAATAGTTTCTGTAGGTTCAAGGGGCTCCAACCCATACAGCACACGGCTCACGATTACCGAATTGTAAACTAGCAGTTTCCACTTTTTGCATCTTTTTGTTACAACGAGTTTTGTTCATTTTGTTCCAAAAAATGTCTAGCTAAAAAAATCATCACACTTGATAGAGGAAACCAGAGGTTTGCGGAAACACCGCCTAAATGGTACGGGTGAGTGTCAGAAAAGAATCGGTGAACCTGTCTCAAACACATGCTCCACCAAAAACATTCTTCAAACATAGAGTATGCACCCGTTGCCAAGCCTCAATGGGCACTACTTCTGCAGGACCCGTAAGGTATGTTGCGAAAAACCTGTCGCGGTTTTTCAGCCGGCACTGGGATAAGAAAAAATTACATGCATGACCATTGGCAACTACGCTCCTCCAAAAAAAAATAGATGCAGAAAGGTTTCCAAACAAATTTCCTAACCGCTGCAGTTCAACTGCCCAATGACTGGTCCACTCAACATCACAAACATAAAACTACAGTACATAATAAACGATAGTATATATATTGTACAAAATTATATTATATTATATTGTATTATATTATATTATATCATATACTGTATATATATAAAAAATACAGACATTGTGAACACTTGTAGATAATCAGCAAAATCCAGCAATGTGCACCATGGCAACGAAAACTCCAAAAACGGCCCCTCTTAGCGCCTTGGCATAGGCACTGCTCGGGAGGACGGGGCCGGAGATGCAGTTGGCAAACTCGAGGACGAGGATGATGCACCCGGAATATTCTCAGGCAGCAAGTGATAAAGCAAAATTAATCTATTCTGTCTATTTCCTTTTTTTGGGGAAGGAATTTTGGATATATCTGGATTCATTGAATAAGGGCTCTACAGTTACGTGAGGTTCTTGGCCTATGGCTTTGTATCTTATCACATCTTATCACGTGTCAGCCATGGGGCTGTGATTGTTTTCATTTTTTTCCGCTCTCTGTCTCGCTCTCTCTCCCTAAAACTCTCTCTCTCTCGCTCTCGCTCTCTCTCTCACACACTCTCACGCTAACCGTAGCCATTGGATGGCATTGGTCTACCACCTCTGTTTCCCTACTGACAAACTACAGAGACATGCCTTTGGACCCTTTGGACCCTTTGGACCCTTTGGACCCTTTGGACCCTTTGGACCGTTTGGACCGTTTGGACCGTTTGGACCGTTTGGACCGTTTGGACCGTTTGGACCGTTTGGAGAACTGATAGCCCCATGGTAACGCCATGATAACGCTCAGCATCTGCATCTTCCCGATCACCAGGTCGATGAGACTGATAGCTCGGATGAGACTGACAGCTCGATCCTGGTGTGCTTTAGGGGTCCCAACGTGATCCAGGAACAACCTTTCGAAACAGGCATGGCATGGCATGGTCAAACACATGGCATATGGGGTATGGTCATCCCACCATCATGTGGAATTTCAGTGGATTTCTCACCATGGGATACAATGGGTATATTAACCCCGACGAATGGGAGAATGACCGTCCCCTTTTATGACCACACACACAACTCATTAAACATATACATGTATAACATGCAAGCGGTGGAGCTTGATGGTAGAAGCCGTTCAAGCCAAAGGCCTTCTATGGCTAGCGTCAAATGGAAACCTATCACAAAATCGGGCACCGCACGATATCCTATTTTCCTTCCACTTGCGCCAGGATTGACTGCGCATGAACAACTGGGTCACCTGCAAGTGTGACTCCGTACAAGTGATTTCACTTGCATCCGCTCCACTTCCTCGAAGTTCAAACCTTTTTCCAAATCAAACGCAGCTGACTCCTTTTTGCATGTGTGAATGTGTGTTTTGTGTCTTCTGTGGTGCTTGGTCTAAAGCTTGAAGTCCGGTTTCTCTTCTTTTCCTGGCTGATCTCATTTGTTCATCACTCACAAGTCGCCATTGGCTATTGAACTGGTAGTAGAGCTCGATCTCTTGTGCTCCTCAAGGCATTTACTAGCTAAGCCTCTGAGTGCGCCCAGCGAACGATCACGCCATAGCGTTGCTGCGCACATTTTATGCACATCAACTCTAAATCGGTCCTCCTTTCGGCCCCCTTTGTAGCCAATTCTTCGATGTTGAGTTTGTCAAGCACATAGCGAGAATCCGAAATTATCACTCCAGTCTGTTCACAGTCTTGTCTTTTTCAAAACTATTGAAACCTAGCATGGAACAGCAAATCTTCACCATTGACGGCCGCTGTTGCCTCAGCAGCCCCTGGGCTTCGTGCTACTCGGTCTATTTTGTTTGCATGCCAAGCAACTGGTGTTACCTTTTCCATGTTCCCATCCAACAGTTTAAGAGGAGTCATTCCCGAAAACAGCCCCTGGGTACTACTACCATCCCTTCGATTTTGCCCAGCAGCATCACACCACATGTGCAACCCCAGTTCGGTGTCCTCCGGAAAACTGTGTATCGTGATCTTGTGGTCCTTATGTGGTCCTTACGCATCCTAGTTGCATACACAAATTTATCAAATCATATCAAATTTATTGGTCCTGAGTCCTGATGATCGCGTCCACTGTGCTTTCTGTGGCCTCACTCAGCAACAGGCTTACTTCCGCACTGACGTGTGGCGCAACCTGCTGCGCGTGCTAGCTGAGAGCTCCCAATGCAGCTCGTAGTTGGCTTCGTTCCCAGTCTGTTGTTGGGCTGTTTCCTTCTCGCTTTCGAGTGTCTGGAACAGGAATTTACTTCATTCTTTCAGTGTACTGCGGCTGAGACAACTGGTAGCTGTGATCTTCCATTTCTTTGATTTCAACTCTACATTGAATGAGTTCTCCCGATTGCCAATCTCCTTACGAAAACTCTTGGTTGATTCTAACCAGGAGTTCATTCCATGACGTGTCTTTTTCAGGTCCACTGAACAGAAAATCACCCACATGACAAATGATAAGCCCCTTAAGAATACCCTCGTGTCTGCAGGCCCACATGCGTGGGTCACTTCAAAGTTTCTCCAGTCCTATTCATTCGAAAAAGCTGGAAAACTACGATACCATTACCATTCTATAGGAACCGTAACAGCTTCTTTTGACACGGGTGATTGGTCCAGGTTCCAGATCCATGGCTGTGCATATTTCATCACATGGTATGCAAAATAACCTCCCGGGATACTCACGTCCTTGGAGAAAAGCTCGGGACACATCGCCTTTTTGGGTCTTCCATTTCTTCCAAGCGGCATACTGAAGTTGCGGCTGGCAACTCTGACGGATCATACAATAACAGGTGTTGTGGTTGACCGATGTTCATGCCCTGGATCTTGATATCCCAGAAGAATAGCCCTAGCTTTCCGTATGGTAGTTCCATCATCTTTGGCTGTCCAGGCCAGAATCCAACGCATTAGCAGCAATTTCTTTGGGGGGGTTCATGTGGTCCGGTATGGCCTCAAAAGCCTGTGCACCTGTGAAGTTTTTCACCTCAATTTGTTTCGCAGCATCAAGCAACTGTTTCGTTTCTGGATCCATCCGTTTCTCACTCACTTCTACCGCACGACGTTTGAGGGCACCCACGAAATAACCCTGGATATCATGTTCGAACTGTTGTTCTCCCCCTTCTAGTGGTAGGAACATCAATGGCAACCTCAACCGCAGTTTCGGGGTTAATCCAAACTTGTTGGTTCTCTTCCCCCACGCTAGAGAAATCAACATCAGTCCACCAAACAGCCCAAAACAAGTCCTCATCAGCAATTTCTTTGGAATCCCCCTGCTCCGTTTCAGGTTATCACCACTTTGTTTTTCCGTGCCTTCTTGGTGAACCCTGGTGCCCTCCGCTGGTCTCTTATAGCTGTGTCGCAATCTTGGTGGTGGTGGTCCGGATGAACTTGATGCTGGTTCGTCCATTGCCACATTTGGCATCTGTTCCGGATCCTGATTTCGCTGCCATTCCTCCAGGGATGGGACATCCTTGGTCAGGTCGTCATACTCTTGTTTTCCTAGTTGACTTACCTACCATCCTAGGCATGGTCCATGGTGCCTTTTTGTCCATGTCATCTACCTTCGAACAGCTCTTCCCTATGTGTGGCATGTCTGAGCTGTTCAGGAATGTATTTCAACAGCCGTCTTCCCCTTACAACCCAAATGGCACTTCCGGGAGTCAGCTCTCCGTCTGTGTCTCGTTTCGTTTCAGTGAAACCCTGGCATGCCCCAAGAAATCCCAATTTTTATTACCACTCATAGATTTGGGTAACTGTTTTCTCCAGTAGTATACTAAATCCCCAGGATAGAAGTTCAACATCCTATGTCCCCGAGAGTTCATGGCTTTTTTGATTTTCTTATTTTTGCAGCCCACTGGGAGTGAGCTTGTTCGGCTGCACGCATTCTTTCCACATTTGTTTGAAACTCGGCGTTTGGGTTTTCGATGAATGCTTCCGCAGCCCTACCATCCAAACTGTTCACAAACCGTCCAGTGCAGTCAGGTGACTTTCCAAGTGCATGTTGAACTGTTGAAAACCCTCTCTCTCTCTCTCTCGCGCTCGCTCGCGTTGAACACCCGCACTGCAGTGTTTATTGCCTCAGTTGAGGTGATTTCTCCGTCCTCAGTGGCCAGACGGTTCATGATTCCTTTCAAACCCCGTGTGGCCTGTTCAAAGACCCCAAACTTCCAATGAGCCTCAAGTAGATACTGTGTTTGTCACAGTAAGCTTCAAATTCCTTTGATCTAAAAGCACCAGCCGGATCTAATCTTAAGGTTTTGGGGTTGCCAAAATATTGGGTCCAACCTTCTTGAAAATAACAGAGAAACCTCCTGGCTGACATGGTTTGTTTCTTCTCTTGACACAAGATATGAGCAGCCCTGAATCGTGACCCCTCATCAATAAGAATGGCAAAGCCATAGGTTTCATTATTTCCTGGGTGAACCCAATGTCCTCCATCAGCGCACGCTGTCGCCCACTTTGGTGGTAGTGGTTCCACAGACGCCGCATGTCGTGGTTTCAGTTTCCCATGTTCTTCACACACGGCACACCAGAAACCTTTTGCCATGTCAACAACATGTTTTGGGGCCCCTCTTTTCTCAAGAGCAATGACCATGTTCCGGATACTGCTGTGACCTGTGGCGGCATGAAGTTTGTAAAGTTTTTGTTCAAGGACTTTGCGGTCTTTTTCAGAAGTGAAATCTTTTTCCCCAACAAAAAAATCGCCCAAGCTTACCCAAGGCACTGGTGTTTCCTTCCCCAAGTCACAAATGCACATTCCGCAGTTGATGTCAGTTGAATGCTACAACAGTTCTGGGCACACGCGTTGAAGGCTGCTCCCAAAAAGAAGTGGCACCTGTGAGGTTCCATTAAGCTCTTGAGCCAGCTGGGAAAAGGACATTTCATGCAGTATGGCCTTACAGTACCGCCTCACATACTCAGAAGTGTAATATGCCGTCTTTAGTGTGAAAGCTCCCTCACATGCGGCATGTTTATAGTTTCTAGGGCAGTTGCGCCTTAAGTTCATCATCTCAGCAAATCTCTTGTGAGCGGTCATGATTTTCCATCCTTTTCTACGTAGCTGCCCTGTTTTTGTTTCATTTTGTTTCACGCAAGTTCGCTGGGCAACCATGACCATGAGTCACAGCCCCAAACAACTGATACTTTTTCAACACTTTTGGAACAATCGGAAGTCTCCATGCTTGACATTATTCCGACCATTCCCAAACCACATGTATGTCTTTTTGACTGCAGTAGTGGCGTACACACAATCCTCCAACATATTGTTTCAAACCTGCCGCCGCTTGTTCTCTAACTCTTGTTTTTGGCCCCCACTCCGCAGGTTCAAGTTCTGTATTGGCGAGTAGGGTCCGCACCCGGTGGCTATGTGTACATTGTAAATGCATGGGTTTGTGATGGTCTATAGTCCCAAAGTGAGCCTGACCCCATCACCTGTGCTCAAGTCATTTCCTGACCAGTGGGAACAACCAATTGCTGAGCCTTTCAGGCCCGTGATCTTTTGTATCTTTGCCGATAGTCTACTATCAGGACTGCATGCTACCTCCATCAAAACAAAAGGGCTGCGACGGCTGACGTCACGAAAGGCATTGGCAGTAATGTCCTGGTTGAAATCTTGCAAGAACCTAACAGCCTCATTTGTCAAGGTGGTTTTCACTTGTTTTTCTTCCTGGCCGTTGCGTGGTCCACAGAGATTTTGATCTACTGTGCAGGTCAGGTTTCTTGTGGCAGCTCTCTCACTGGTTGACTGGATTCTGCGACATCATCTCCCACGACGGTGTGCTCTTGCTGCCTTCGTCTTGGACTTCTTGTGGTGACGTCCGCGGACTTCCTCCGGCTCCTCTTCCATACTTTCCATCTTCTGTTGCATGACTTTCATCAGCGCTTGGTTCTTGCTGGAGCTGCCGGTCGCATCTTTATTGTTGCCCGTCATGGGGCGGAAGGTTCATGGTCATATCGTTGGTGTCTTCCAGCCACAGGGCGGGACGCCGCAGGCGATAGCAGCAGGGACCTTCTTGCTGGGTTTTGATGAGCCACTGGCAGTACTCGGGCTGCTGGACCTTCACTTCGAGGTAGCTCAGCTGGTAGTGTGATTCACCCGCATCTATGATTCCAAACCCTTGCTGGACGGCCTCACTTGTGGTCAGAAGGTCATGTCCGGGATCTTCGCCTTGGTAG